ATAGAGCAAAGCTTGAGACAATTTTCACGGAAATCGTGAGTTGAATGAAAGGAAACCTCTCGAAGTTCAACAACTTCTCATCATCAGACCTTGAGAGAATTCAATGAATCGACGTTGCCACCTGAATGACAGGCTACAGATGGCGATTCTGAAGATGCTCACAAGGCCATAAACAATGTTCCCGGGGAAACCCCGAGCGACTTATCCGATTTTAGTCGACCCTTGCAACACTCGCACGCAGAGACTCCTGAGTAACTTGACAAGCCCCGCATCATGAGCCCAATTGACTCTTGAGATGAACTGCAGCAAGAAATTCGGATCTTACTGACATTACTGGGCAATTAATCAGGACTCCTTCCAAAGGTACAACTATTTCGCAAAGATCGAACAACGGTTGATTAATTTGCGATTCCACGAACACAGCTCAATTCGTAATGGCGCACATTACAAAGCAATCATAATTATTCACGAATGAAAGATATATAGACGCATGAATGGAAATTGATGACGCGAAAGTCAAACGAAAATTGAAAGGAACTTACGACAATTGGCTTTCTCGTCTTCAGCTTCGGGACAGTCTTCTTGGTGATCGCATACCCATTTCATGGGTATACACCGTCCATTGCTGCAAGCAAATTGCGTGTCAGAACAGTTTTTTGAACCTGCAACGACAAAAAGGGAATTGAACGTTCATTAGGCAGCCGATTCAGCTCCGGTGATGAGGCAAAAACTTTTGTCAGTGCGATTTCACTCTTCCTTTTTAGGTTTTTTTTTTTAAATCAAGAAAAAATTTCACGGGCATGAAATGGTTCGCATTTTTGTCGTGACAAGCAGTACTTACAAGGTATTACCGCGTTTTCACAGAAACATGCTCAATCACGCATGACTCGGGATTCCAATGTTGCGAAATTGATGTGCCTTCTACGAAATTCGGCGTAAAAAAGGCTATGAGCATTTCAAAATCAGGTCTTGGGATTCCAGAGATACTGAATGCATCAAATATCTTTCGGTCGAAAGCATCTTGCTTCAATTAGACAACAATCTAGCTCAAAATAATCTAAACGAGTGATCATTGTTCGCGGTTCAGGACGAAAGAATCCAGAATGGACAGGCCGAGATTCTCGAAAGATTACGTAACAAACGTTAAGGAGCGGTTAAATTGTGTCTATGGTGATTAAATTGATCAGAAATTTGCCTCCTAGCCACAAAAAAAGCCCTCGTTCGGCGAGTACAGACCTTTCCGCAAAGCTCTCCTGAAATACCACACGGAATGCATTACAGTAATTATTCTACGTTTACCGAGTACGATCGACTTCCATGATGATTAAGATACAATTCCAGTAAAAGGAAGACGCAACTAAGGTTCATCTTGGAAAATGAATCCATATAAAATGTTCTTCGAAATTAAGACTATCGTAAACATATTGAACCAGTCCGAAATGTTCGGTGAAGTTGGTTTGATTCTCCTCAAAAATTCTCCAACCCCAAGCTTGCGGAGTCCATATCTAGACATAATTCTCAAGAAGCGAAATACAGGTAATGTAGTGTGTGTACACTGCAACTTTATTCAATGCAAGTTCCGATCAGGCTGAAGTTCATCATAATCGAAAGTAACATCGGAAAATCGATCATCATCCAGTTGCTTCGCCAAGAAAATGCAGTACAGTATTCCACTCCAATAATTGGAGACACGACGACGATTCCCGCGATTACTTCGTCCCGAATCAGTGTGACTTTCGAGGAAAAAGGTATAGGCAGACAGGCTTCGATGACGCAAATACCACCTCCAGTGACTGGGAAACAGCCGGAGTTGTCATTATCCAAGCAAATTGACATGAATCAGGAAGAAATTCACGTTATTCCTCTCTCAAGATTCGGTGTACGTGTCGCCTTTGCGAGTAGTCACGAATGTTGCGAATAAATTCGGGGAAAAGCACGCGAAGTCCGCATCTATTCCGTTCTTTTCCGTACGTACAGTAGTACATTCCGTCGAGCTGGAAGTTATGTAACGCACGTAAGAATGAATATTTCTTGAATGCATACCGGAGAGACGAAAAATGAGTCCAAACTGGCTTATATCCTATCACCAAATAAATCTCAGACGACCAATGTAAACAATGATCACTGGTTTCATCGCTGTAAAAATCGAAATTTTGAATTATGCAACGAAACTTTACAGATCGATTTATTGTTTTAGACACGGAAAAAATGGAAGATTCCATGAAACACAACTGTTCAAAAATTTTCGATAATCAACATGTTTCAAGACCTGCCGATGTAAAATCTCCCACGGCTAACACGCACCACCAACGACTTCCAACTTAAATTTCACGAAACATAGATCATTTTGCATTTCTGAAGGTGGAGTTTCCGCGTCCTTCACACGCCTAACGTTATATTTCATGCACTTTCTCCTCATGCATTCACCTTCTGCCCCCACTTTCACATTTTCCTCAAATGTATACAATACTTTTTATTAAAAACCAGGTCAACCAAAATAAATTCAGGTGGCCCAAGTACCGTACCACCGGTGGTACGCGTAAAAATAATTAGAAAGCTTTGACCTGGAAGTTGGGTTGGATAAAATGGTCTTTCTCATAAATGCTCAGCAGGAATGATGCATCTATAAATTCAGGTGGCCCAAGTACCGTACCACCGGTGGTACGCGTAAAAATAATTAGAAAGCTTTGACCTGGAAGTTGGGTTGGATAAAATGGTCTTTCTCATAAATGCTCAGCAGGAATGATGCATCTAAGCATCAAAAAGATTTTTAAAAAGTATCTTAGCATAGCCATCTAGGGTGGGACATACAAAATGTTTTTTCTTCCAGCAACGTCAAATACAGCACCTTTTCGAGGTGAAGATGACTTTGAACCCAATAAAGAATTCGAATACCGGGAAATATTTCACATAAAGTTTCAAAATGAAGACCGAAGGATTGCAGGTGCCGAAATTTTACCTCGGAGTGAGACCGAATTCTTTCGTTTCAGAAAAAACAAGACTTACTCATTCGCTTGAACCGACCAGAACAAACCCTGCAAGATGTCAAGAGAGTAAAGAACGCATCTTGATCTCTTTTGTGCGAAAATTTTCTCCGTCCAAGGGTTTCTTCGCGGCATACAATGCCATCGTGGACTCTCCGAACGTGCTCAACACACGACAGACGGTTGGAGCACGAGAAAAAGGGCGGCTACGGGACGCCACGAGCGGAAGTACCTGCCACGAATGACGACGCAACTCCGTCGACAATCGGCGCTCGTTGTCCACGAAACACAATGGAGCTTCTTCTCCGTACCACCTCAGGCCCTGCCCGGACTCCGGAATAAATTTAATGCATGGCGACGGATCTTCCACGACACCGGGCTCCATCACTTCCGCGCGGATGAGTCTCGAAGGTTCGGACACGAGTCTCGTGAGAAACAGCGCACGTCTCACCCGCACTCCGCGGAAAACCATATTCGTTTTTTTTTTTTTAAATTGGACGCTTCATAATTTCTTTCAGTTCAGGTCCCAACGAAACTTACATCAAAAGCATCGAACAGAGCAGCAAGATTTCGAAATAATCTTAATGGTGCACTGAGCGGCTGTTCAACGAATGATTACATCCTTTCGAAACGACGACGGGGTATCATGAAAGTGTTACAAACTTCCATTAAATCCCATAAAATGCAAGATGCTGACCCCTGGCGTTCAATGGTTAAACCTTTTTCTTCATCCACGAACAATCGAAATAATCGTTAAATTATTCACGAAGTGTAAAATCGGCGAACACTTTCTCAAGACTTGCTAGAGCTCAACCGGAAATTTAGTGTATTGTTCAAGCCACACGGCAACGACAACAAAATCGAGGCATTTTTTCAAAATAAAATTAATCATATGCTTCGCGGAGAAAAACCTACGGAGTGGCTCAGAGGGCATCAGTAATACTGACGAGGTTCCTCGTAGAAAAATAAAGGCAAAACCTTCAGAGAATCTTTTCTTCCCTTTTTCGCCAACGGGCAAACAAAAAAGAGGCGCACTTTTACGCAACCAAACCCGTGAAGTACTGTACAATACTGCACCACAGAATTTCCTGCTTTTCGTAAGTTTCGTATTCCAGAGATAACAGCAGAAATCGGCCACCACGAAAAAAAGTACTGTACCAGGTTATTGGCTAGGAAATCGCAGTCGAGTCTCACAAAACAAAAGCTACCAGACCGTGCAACTCAGCAACAAAAGAATAAGATAGCACATCCTACAGTGTTTCTGCGAGTTTCAACAACAACGATTCAGAGGGTCGAGAGAACTTGTAAAGTAGTATGGAGATCATGACGGTGCGTGTTTGAAACTCCGAGGTACGGCGCTTGGACGTTGTCATCCGGTGTCAGCGAAGGAAAAAAATTCACAAAGGCGATTCTTATGACCCAGAAGTATTTAACCGACACGCCGAAGCTTCAGGCTGTTGCTATTTCTTCGCGATAGAACGGTTCTTCAAACATGACCACCCTGGACGCAATACAAGAGAAACTTTCTCTACTCACACTTCCACTGCGGCGACATTTTCCAAAGAAAACTTTTCCAAACCCCGGTAAATTCGTTGATCAAGTGAAAATATTTCCAACACAACGAATCTCCCCTCATCAGTAAAGATTTGTATCGCCTCGTTCCGATATTGCATTGGATTTTATCCGATGATGTACAGCTTCGGAACTTCATATGCAAATTTCTTGACCGAAAAACATGATACGGAAGGAGACAGGAGTGTCATTAGATTTTCAAGTCGTCTTGTAGACGATACTCAATCGACTCTGAAGTCAATAGAATCTTGATGAACACAAGCCGAAAGTGCAACCGTTTTTCCAATTTTCGTTTGGATGTTTCCTTCTGCTGACATTCATAAAGCAACCGAATTACAGCTAAGAACTCAATAAACCACGGACGTCCCTGCTTTTCAGCTCAGATAAGGGTTGAGCTTCCCACACAACGATAGTTGCAATTTAAAATAAGCGTAGCTTATTCAACATCGGGGGCATTACACGTCCTGAAATAAAATAAAGCTATCGAATCTAAAATGACTCGGGGTTTCGCAAAAGCTAACCCTTGGTATCAAGAAAGAATCTTCGAAAATACTTGGGTATGCAGTACGTGTTCGTGAAGATGCTCGTCAAGTTGATCCAGCAACCAAAACGTCCTCTACCACATTCTTTCCAGTCTTCATTTACTGATCTGCCGATTTTATTCCTTGCGCAATCCAAAATCTCCATTCAGGGTTCTCCTGTCTGAAAATGATCGTCTATTGCAAGGAGCATACAACTGCGTTAATGCATCACTGCAGACATCCCAAGTACTGTAAGTAGAGAGTTAATCTTCACGGAAGAAGTCCGCCCGAGATTCTAAAAAGAGCCAAGAATTGAGTTCAAAGGGATTTTCTTAATTTGCCGAAATAACCGGGGACGTTGAAAATACAGTACTGTAAATCATAACAGGAGCGAAGGTGTCTGCAGAAGCAGTTCGATTTGAAGGAGTATGGGTATAGGTGGTCTGCCCAGAGCAAAAGTCTGCCCAGTCTGACGAAGAGTCGGAAAGTCAGCGAAAAATGCGTCTCATGCAGAATATTCGCAAGAACACGGAGAATCTTCATAGAGAGAGGTGGCCCCCGTCATTGTTCAGTACAAAAAAAAAGTGAAGAAAAAACCTTCGAATGATCTGCCTTATCAGCTCAAGATACCAGTGTTACTATATATAGAGCATATGAATACTGTAGTACAGTATCAGTTCATCGCTGAGAGACGTTTTGTTCTAAAGGAGCATTTTAAAGACGGTCAGCGAGGACCTGGAAGAAAGGTCGCTTGAAGAATCTCGCTATAGAGAGACAGGTTACCAGTCATTTCTACACAGAGCCCACGAAATATATTCGTGAGGATTTCCCTTAACCACCTGTAGTGCCACACCCGAACCTGCTCTCATTCCGTGCGCCAGAGAAATCAGGATTACTGAACAGTGTTGGCCCGCGGGCCGCCCGTTGCCTACCTTCTGTACCTGGGATGAATATGCAGAGAGCGATGCAGTTCAGAGTGAAGAGAGAGAGAGAGAAAGAGAGAGAGCAACAACAACAACAAAAAAGGGAGAGACGAAAAGAACACGCGCATCACGCGCCTGCGGTGGGACGCGCATAGATGGTATCCATGAAGTCAGTCAGCGCGCATAGAGGGGCTCGGTTCGGACGTTATATTTCCCCCGGCGGTGCCAGGCACGGAGCCGGTGCCCAGTTACGAGCTAGCCGGTCCCCGTCCGACAAGCGAGTCGGTCGCGGACAATGACCCCGATCTCGGTCGAGTTTTCCCGCAGACACAGTTGCGTCTGCGGGAAAACGCGACCTCCGGATCCCGAGAAGTTGGCTCTTTTCTTCTGCTTCTTCTCATCTTTCTTTTTTCTTGCCTAGACCAGCGCATATTACGCGCCCGTTTTCTCCAAGGCTTCCGACACTTGCCACGTCGAGTCGACGATGATTTCAAAGATGACGAGCTTCGCGACTCGTGTAGAGGCGCTGCGTTCGCAAAGCCCCTTCAACCAATCCAGCGTGACTCGAGTCGGTCGCTCAAACGAACGCGAGCTTCTGGTTTGACGAACTACAGTAATATAAACTTTACCGAAGAACACGTACAGTACCTCAGAAGGATGGCCGAAACTTCATGGAACATGGTGGAAATCCGAACAGTAATACTGTAATAACCGGGAGCTCCAATAAAAGTGCCGAATGTTCTGATGAAATTACGTGAAACAAAAAGTCTACATTTTGTTAGCTTCTATACTGTACTTTTGAAACGTCAGTTATAATAAACTACGCAAATCTTCGAATATTTGTCTAGTCCTAGCGGATGATTCAACAATCCCGTTTTCAACTAACCGTGCATGATATTATTCAGTCGGACAAGGGGAACCGGTCATCAATCCGGATATCATGTGATCACGATTACAGTATACAGTACAGTATTCAGAATGTGTCAACATAAATGTCCCATTTTTTGGAAAATGCACTTATCCTAAAGTTCCTGGATTCACGTCGGTGATGCTCAACTCTCATCAATGGGCTGCGGCACCAGTTTTGATGAATTCGTTCATATGATAACTTTGATGCTGTGACGAAAACATTCAACACGAGGAGAATCACTCCAAACTTGCATCACAATATTCTTCAATGTAAAAACTTTCATTTCAAGTTAAGGGTGCATTAAAAAGTAATGCAATAATAGAATGGCCCTTTCTTGTGACACCCACTGACTGAATCTCAAACGCATGCGACTAAACAATAATTTATTTTAAGGATAGCATCGCTGTAGTGGAGGAGATTTTGCATCAATGCTATGTCAAATGCGACCAGATAAATTTCCTTCCAAGGAGAGAATAGTGTTGCTTTAGAGTTTTAGACAGAATCGTCGTGTAGGAAGACCAGCTACAAAAACCACACCACGTACAATTCAGAGAAAACGGCGAACCGAGTGAAGACGATGCCCAGATTACATTTTTGCGACATCCTTCGAACAATCCAAAAAACTCCAATGCCTGATCAACTCGCGTACGACGCGCTGCGGATTTCCGAACATCACTTGGAAGAAACTTTTCATAAAATTCAAGAAAACTACTACTGTACTAGTGTACAAAGAACGCCTGCCCTCATTTTGCGAATACTGTACTTTACTTCCACTTTCTTCTTTGAGATTGAGCGTTCCACACGAATAAACACGGCATTCTTAACGGCTTGCGACCGATACGCAGCGAAGTTTTTTCCATCCATTTAAAAGCTCTACTGAAAAGTTCGTGAATCTAGTTTGACATTAATTGTGGCACCCCATAAAAATTGCGCCATTTCGCCGATTCCAAATCCCGTCTGACAGTTCACACAACCTTCGTCAAGTTTTACATACCGTAATTCAGGGAAACATCGACAGGAATAGTACCGACGGCTACTCTGGCAATCTTTACAACAAAATGGTGTGCATTCATTTGTTTTACGGTTCCTCGCGTGATTCAAAACTGCACCCGAGAATCAGCCACCTGGTTCAACAACTGTTTCTTCTATGTAACTGTTGTTGGCTTTTGTGATCAAAATAAAGCAAAAATGGCAACTTCGTAGCGTAATGAAAAAATTGTTACTACCTCGCGAAAAAAAAGTCATGCGAGAATTCAGTTTTTCTTCCAACAATACCGTCCATTAAATTCAACTCCATTTTCCGAAATCATTACCAGAACGACTTCAATTTCCGACTATGAGCTCTAAATGCGACCACACTTATTTGATCATTATCTGAGCTTTCCAGATGAAAATTATTATGAAATTTTCGGTTTAAAGTGCAAGGAAACGTGAGCGAACTATACTGCATACTTATTTATACTGTACTCCAATCCTCCACTTGATTATACCAATATCAGGCGTATTTCATCGGAGTCTCACACTTACAAGATATAAGTCAGAAAGC